ATCCAAGTCAGGGCATGGCTAACTCACAGATTGAACCCTGGAACAACCTCTGGGCCGATCTAAGTTAGAGCACGGCTAACTAACAGATTGAATTGGATCCGGAGAAAAACGCTCGAATACGGAATCAAGGAGAGGATTCTGAAGCTCTACCCTCAAATGCCAAGTCAAATTGCAAAGTATAGGAATCGAACCTGGAGAACTGGGCAGTACATAACACAGTTGTTTCCCTGCATACACTTAGGAAAAGCTTTGGAAATTCTTCCTTTAAAAAAGTCTTTAATAACTTTTTGTTGAAAAGAAAGAGAAAGGTGCCTGTTATAAAGCATTCTAGAAATATAAATATAAATATAAAATGCATTTACCTAAATCTAATAAAGAACATATTATTTTGTATAATCACATCTGCTAATTAAGAGAATGAAATAAAGGCAATGATATTCCTGCATATTTGCAGTAAATGATTTTTAATGCGTTACGCTTCACGTAATTATCTGCAGCATGCACTCAAACACGAAATCATTATCGGTCAAAAAAATATAGAACATAGAAGCTGAGACCAAAAGGCTGGTATTCTGGGAAATGACACGATTATCCTCTGATGTATTCATTTGAGATACGGCTGAGTCAATATGAAGCATGTCTTAAAAGCCTTCATGCTTTCTGTCAGTGAATCAACGATTTATGAACATTCCATCGTGTTGTATCACTAGATAAGTGCATACTTCCCATGTACTATTTCAGTCTTACCTACTATTTGCTATGTTTTTGAACTATAACGATGATTCTGAGGGTATACATAAGTGTGTCGTTAGTGTGTCGTATGCCCACGATAGCAATTATCGATTAGCAATGGTAGGAAAATGATATATGGATTTTGAAGGAGCTTTTAGTCTGACCTTGCGTCATTCAGGAACATACAGGAACAAAGAGTTTAATGAAATAATTGGGAACGACATGAAAAGATGTGCATTAGCAACTCTACATATTATACTATCTTTAGGTGATGTTTGTTAGTTGAAAAAGAAGATGACAAAAGAAAAGCTTGAAGGCATTAAGAAAAAGATATGTACAGGGGGAAAAATCCTGCTTACTTCCTTCGTCACTCACTTTCTTTATTATTTTTTTCCTCTCCTTTCCTTTTTCTTTCCTTTCCTTTTCCTTTCTTTTCCTTTCCTTTCTTTTCCTTTCCTTTCCT